GGCCACTCACGGCTGTCACTGTGTCCACAGTCAGTGCTGGCCACCTGTCTGGGGACTGTGGAGCCATGTGCATCGTCCTATTTCACTCCATTTTGTGGGGCTGCCTAGAACTATGAATGGACCACGTCCAGCCATGGCCCCCTGCATCCTGGGAGGCATTCTAGGACAGGCAGAGGGTCCCACCCCAGGATAAGCTACTTAGCCCGGGTGGTCCCCAAAGTGGTCACTGTGAGCTTTTTCTGGGATCCCAGTAGCCCGTAGAAAAGCAGCCCTTTGGTCGTATCTCTGCTGCTGTCTTATAAAACCATTACTGTAAAGCGTTCCCAGACCCCGAGCCTGCCAGCAGCCTGCTCCAGGGCAGGCCTGATCAGGGGGTCAGGTACACGGTTCTGTATGTAGATGGCAAGATGCGGTGCTCTTGCCTTCCTGCTTTTTGTTTGTTTTGCTTTTAATGAAAGCCATCTGGGCATGGTGTCTCACGCCTATAATCCCAAAACTCTGGGAGGCTGAGGCGGGTAGATCACTTGAGCTCAGGAGTTCATGACCAGCCTCCTCCCTGCCCCCTCCTTTTCTGGGAAATCTATAGGGAACAGTGCCCCTCTCTAGAACTCAAGGGTGCAGCCTGGCATGGGGCCACCAGAGTGCCAGTGGGCACAGCTTGAGCCCAGGTGCCCTACTGCCTGCACCCCAGACCCTGAGTCTGCAGTCTCAGAGTGAGACTCCGTCTCTAAAAATAGCTGGGTATCGTGGTCGGCACCTGTAGTGCCAGCTTCTTGGGAGGCTGAGGCAGGAGGATCACTTGAGCCCAAGAGTTTGAGGCTGCTGTGAGCTATGACACCATGGCACTCTACCAAGGGTGAGAAAGTGAGACTCCGTCTGAAAAAAATTAAGCCACTTGTGGGCTCCTTCTGCAGAGAGATGAGGGAGCCCCCATAGAGAGCAGCTTAAAATGCAGGAGCTAGGTTCACATCTGAGCATTTTGCCTATTGGCTGTGTGACCTTGGGCAAGTCACTTCTCTGGGCTTCGGTTTCTTCACTGAGAAATGGGGGTAATGATACTTATTTTTATTGTGAAGATGAGATAAGGTACTGAGAGCTTCTAGCACGGTGCTAGGCCTTAAGCAGACATCCAGAAAAGGACCTGTTGGTAACTGCGTTCGTCAAGCTAACACTAGCCACTGTACGAAGACGTTTGACACCCCAGTGGAAATTATGCATAGATATTTCTTAAGCACATGGCCACTTAAAGTACACCTAGCGGAGGGCCAGGACAGGGCCCTCTGCTCTGAACATCATTCAGGAGTATTGATGGAGGCATTGCTGTCTTCAATACTGGGATTCAGGGTCACCTTGGGAGCACACACCCTTGTGAAGACCTGGAAAGCCTCACACAGGAGGCTTTTCTGCGCCAGGCCTAGAAGTGGCCGGTTATTACTTCCAGCATATTCTGTTACCCAGAACTTGGTCGCCTGGCCCTGAAAAACTGCGCCAGAGGCTTGGAGGTGAAAAGCTGCCGACCTCGGATTCCTGCTGTTGTTATGCTAGTCCAGTCCTCGCAGGGCCCATGGGTGTGTGTAAGGCTAGCAGAAACCTCAGCCTCCAGGTGGACCCCGAGGAAGGCTGGCTGGCTGGCCATTGTCTAGGCAGATGGCCACACATGATTACACCCATCCCAGCAGGGTGTCGACTTCAGCCTCACAGAGGACAGGCAGCCTAGCCACACCCCAGTGTGGGGCCTCTGGACACTTAATCCAAGTGCTCTTTATAGACCTGAAGGATGGCTTGGCCTAGCTGGCCTAAGGCATGTGGCTTGCAGACTTGGACAGTGCCCAGGGCTTCCTGGGGCTGGTAGGACCAAAGTGACAGGATGTATGAGCTTCCCATGGCTGCTGAAACAAATTACTACAAACTGGCTGCCAGCTTAAAATAACAGGAATTTATTCTCTCACAGTTCTGGAAACCAGAAGTATGAAATCAGGGTGTCATGAGGGATGTGTGCTCACCAGAGTCTCGAGTGGTGTGTGTGTGTGTGGGGGGTCCTTCGTGCCTCTTTCTGGTCCCTTGACTGATAGGTGCATGGCTCTAGTCTCGGCCTCCATCTCCACGTGGCTTCTTTCTGGTGTATCTTTTGTCCATTCCTCTTTTTATAAGAACACTTGTTATTGGCTTTAGGGCCCATCCCAATAATCCAGGATAATCTCATCTGGAGATTCTTAATTACATCTTCACAGTCTCTTTTTCCAAATAAGGCTGCATTCACAAGTACCAAGCAGATGTAGCTTTCGGCAGACCACGTTCAACTCACTATACAGGGGCAGGTGGAGGAGGCCTAGGCCCAGGTTAGACCTCTGAGATTGGGGGGCACCCTATAGCTCCCTCGGGCGATAGGAGAGCAAAGGTAGAAAGAAAACCTGGGTCCAGAGACTCCCCTCCCTCTCTGCACCTCAGACTTACCTTCAGGCTTGAAACATTCATAGCTGGTCACCTAAAGCCTGACTGTAGCCAGGCAAAGGGAGAAAACAGGTATGTCCTTGGGCAAATGACTTCTCTGGGCTTCAGCATCCCCATGTACAGAACGGGACGATGGTCATTGTAGAGTCTGTCTCTTGGAGGGAGGACAAGTTCCAGATAAGGGGACATCTGTAGGAAAACAGTGTGGAGCACAGGTACACGGAGGCCCTATCCGTGACAGCTGCTATTATCATCATTATCAATGTTATCCACAATGCGGAAATAATTACATCTCTGTGACAGGTACAGGAGTAGTCACATACCCTCATCTTCCTGGAATGCAGGGGTGATTCACCCCATCTTCCAGTTAAGGAAACTGAGGCTTGAAATGTTGATGTCACTGCCCGACATCATTTTTAAGATGCAGTGGGTGGGGCAGGAATTTGCAGTCTGGTCTGCTAATTTATGCTTTATGCTGCCTGATGGTTACAATCATGGATCCTTGAACCAGCTTGAGTTCAGACCACAGCTCTGCTACCTGCTAGCTGTGTACCCTTGGGCAAGGGGCTTGCCCTCTCTGTGCCTCATCTGGAAAATGGAACTCAGGATGACCTCAAGCAGGATGGGCATGAGGATCCAGTGAGTTATCCGTGAAAAGTGCTGACAGCAGCAGCTGGCTCCAGTGAGCGGGGAGCATCAGCTGCGTTATTATCCTAATGAGGGAAGCAGAGGCTGCCCACCCGGGGAGCATTCCAGGTTAGCCACACGGCTTTCCTGCCCCTTCCCTTTCCTGGAATCTATGGGGAGCAGGGCCCCTGTCCAGAACTCAAGGGTGCCGCCTGGCATGAGGCCACCAGAGTGCCTGTAGGCACAGCTTGAGCCCAGGTGCCCTTCTGCCTGCACCCAGACCCTGAGTCTGCAGCCTCAGTTGTCTCAGCACATGCGAGAAGGCTATTTTTATTGTGTTCAGCTGACTCTCTTGGCCGGCAGGCTTTCTCTGTGCTGTGGCAAAGGCAGCCCTGCTAGAGGGTTCTGGGGACCCATTTTGAAGGTGCAGCTGGGGAGGGGTGGGGAAGGGGCTAGCGTCTTCATAGTGGGGATCTGGTGGGCTTCATGCTACCACCTCTTGGGAAGCAGCCCAGCCCCCAGGTTTTCATTCCCATCAAAAGAGGAAGTGATTTTCTTTTCTATCCTGCACACGTTTCTGGGGCCCATTCTTCCTTTGACCTTAGGTTGGCCTGCAGCTTGGGCAGGGGTCTCTGAGGGAGGTGTTGAGGCCTGCAGTGTCCCCAGACTTTGATAGGTGCCAACTAGAGGCTCAGTGCTGGGTGATCCAGCCTCCACAGAGGTGAGCTGAGAGGGGACAGGGGAGGTAGTGGAGAGAGAGACATCTTCTCCTTGGACAGAATCCTCTGGGGTGAAATCCTGGGGAGCACCTAGCAGCTGGTCCAGGTACAGCCTAATGCAGCTGTCCCCCAAGTCCCAGCCAGGCCAGAGGCACCCTCAGAGGAGGTAGTGGCTCCTCTGGGACTGAATGGCAGCAGTGATGGATTAAAAAACCACAGCCAAGCAAGGCACTAGGGCCAGTGGGAAGGGGAAAGTCATCCAGCTACTCTGTTCAGCCACATTATGATCAACAATTGGGCCATTCCGTGGACAGCCCGTGAGGCAGGCTGCTGGGCACGGCGGGGGTGGTTTTATATTTTTCAGCTGTTTGGCAGCAGGTCCCTGGCTGTGGTGTAGCCACCCTCCCAAAGTGGATCTCATGTTTTCCTCCCTTACAAAGGTCTCTGTCACCAGGAAATGTCAGTAACCTACTTTGAGACGCCCAGACCCAGGGCCAAAGGAGATTTAGCTGTCACTAGACTCTTAACAGTGCTGCTTCTTCCCAGGGGTGTGGCTAAAAGCAATTAGGGCTTGGCCCAAGCATTTTAAGATAATTTGATGCAGGCATTCAGATACCTATTAGGGGAGATGTCCGCCTTTGACAAGGCAGGAAGGATAAACATAGGTGGCCCTGCTCAGAACATGGTGTCAACGCAGGCTCTGTTCCTCTCTCTGGGCCCGTCCTTCCCAGTGTCACCCACCCCCTGAAAGCCAGGGCAAACTGGCCAGGAGCTCTCTAAGGCTTTGCCTTACCCCTCCCTCAGTTTCACTCTCAGTGGGACATTGGTGCCATCTCCAAGGGGTCTGAGTGGCACTCCAGACTAGAGACCCCTTTCCCTCTTCAAGAGCTGGCAGGCGTCTCCACAGGTGGCTCCCATAAGGCAGACATCTTTCTGGCACCAGCTCCCCCACTGTAGCAGGGGAAGGGGGGCACCCCCAGATTGGGGGAGCACCCCTCCCTCTGTACCCTGCCTGTGATTGGCCCATAATTACAGGTTTATTGCCTGTACAGCTATTGTGTAATGACATGTTTGCAAATTAATTTTTATGGCTCCTGCCATTAGCATATACAGTAGAGGAAGGTTTAGTATTAATTACTACTGTTGTTCGTGTAATCCCGGAGAATTAAAAACCAATAAAAGAATGACAACAGAAGCTGATAGTTTAGGGTCTTTCAGTAAAATAGTTTTATTTTTTTTCCCCAAGTTGGATCAGAGATTTTTCCAAGCTTGTGAGGGGTTAGGGGAGTGGGCGGCAGCTCACCCAGACGGTCTGCCGCAGGTCCTGGTACACCTCCCCCCATCGCAGAGGGGCGCAGATTGTGTAGAATGCAGGTGACAGTGGGTGGGAGGCGAAGCGGGTGACTTGAGTGAAGGCCCAGTTAGGGGGCGGAGTACGAAGCGGGCAGGTGCTGGATCTCGACCCGCTGTAACCTCCCTGCAGGGATGCCAGGCCCAAGGGGAGGTGCGGGGAGCACGCCGCCACGCAGCTCCGGAAACAAAGGGCCGCCGCGCCAAGGGCCTAGCGCGACCTCGGAGGTCAGCGCGGGGCGGAGCGGCCAGGGGCTGGCGGCGGGCGCGGGCGGCCCCGAGCGGCTGGTTTCCTCCAGGTCAGCAGCCCTGACGCCCTCCCCCGTGACCGCGCGCTCTCGGCCACCTGCGGGGAGGGGGCGCCAGGCAGAGCGCAGCAGGAGACTGGGGTATTAAAAACGGCTTCTCGCACCCCCAGCGGCTGGGCTCTGGGAGAAGGCAGCAGCCGCCGGCACGCTGCATCCTCCGAGCCGTTGGTGGCGGCGGGGAGGAGCGCCACCCCTCCCTAGCCTTGGAGCGCTCCGCCCAGCCATTTAAGATTTTTCTGGCGGGGAGGACAGGGCTTGGTAAGTGGCACAGAGGGGTCAAAAGGCACGCCAGGCCCCCCACCTCCTCCAATTTGCCCTCCAGAGCTTTTCTCTAGGGTATCATATTCCAAGAGTTCAACTGTCATTTGAAGCCGCCGCTTTAGCAGGGACCCCGGGGCTGCCGCTGGGGACCCCTGATTTACGCAGTGGTTGGAGAGCGTTGGCAGGAGCCCAAACCTAGCGTGACCGCGGTTGCCCCGCTGTGCGTACCTGCGGGCTCCGGTCTGTTCCTCAAGCCATGATTGTATCTGGGGTCAAAAGGTGACCCCCTTAGTGTCACCAAGTCGTGATTCCGGCTGGTTGTGCCACCAAGGGGTCCTTCAGGAGGTGAAAGGACTTGAAAATAAATTGTCACATCAAGAGGCAGCCTTGCAGCGTGCATTTAAGGGGGGGGGGTGGAACGTGGGTAAATGGATCCTGTCTCTTTAAAATCGCTGGGCTGGACAATGAGCGCACAGGATGTGGTTTGGCGGCAGGGTTTTTTCCCCTTCGATTTGGGGAATTATCACATGGGGCCTTCTTGAGCTGGTGTGAAAGAGAGGCGGCGTGGGGAGGAGAGATACAGGCTCCACGCTCACTCACACACACTCTGTGCAGTTGATCGTTTTCTTAAACCAAATTAGCCAGGGCTCTCGTTACTATGGTGCAGCCGGGGCTTGCAGAATCCCAGTAATAGCATTTATTAGGTCTATTTGCCTGGAAGCATGCCTTCCCGGATCTGATAACGCACAAGAGCAGGGCGAGTGTGGGAGATGGTATCAAGCATTTGATTACACTTGCAACAGGGATTTTTAAGGGGTGGAGTGCAGGGGGTGGGGTGGGGGAGGAAAGGAGGTGAACCAACCGCTCGCCAGAGGAGCTCGCCGGGTCGCCGGCGTGTGCGTTTCCGCAACCCCGTGTGGGTTTCACAAAAGGCAGCCCGGAGCGCCTGGGTCACGGTTTGGGGATCCTCCACTCGGTCCCGGAGGAGGGTGAACTCCAGTTCCCGCAGCTGTCAGACGTGGGTGGGGAGGGAGGGAGGAAGAGAGGGCGGACGGGCGGGCAGCCAGAGCGCGGAGTTGGGCAGCCGGAGGGGGGGACCAGCGGCGCCCGCAGCCACCCACTGTTTGCAAACGGCCCCCGCTTTGGGGCAGAGGGGAGCGTCCCGCCGTCAGCAGCAGCACCCTCCCGGGGTGTAGAGAGGGGAGTCCGCGTCCCGTTTCCCGTCCCCATGGATCTGCCACCCGGCACGGCGGCCGCGCGAGGGGAAGCTCGCAAGTGAAACTATTATTATCGCCCTGCGAAGCGTGGAGCTCTTGGAAGATGCCGCGTAGAGACGGAAGGAGCTGCCGCCGCCGCCTCCAGCCGCCCGCCGCTGCGCCCCTACCCTTTCGCTTTCATTAGGGGAGACAAATCTGCTGTCAGGCAGCCAGCTTTCCAATTTACCGATAATGATTCTTGCATGAAAATTGATCGAGGGGCTCTCCACCGCCGCGCGCTCTCGCCTCCCCGCTCTCCTCCAGCCTCCTTCTGCCCGGGCGCCTGAGCCCCCGCGAGTTCTTTCTCCTCCTCCTTCCACCCCCTCTCTCTGAGTCAGTGGTGGGACGCCGGGCCAGGGAGATAACCAAAAAGGGGGGAGGGGTGTTGGTGCCGAGAGGGGGAGGGGAGGCGGCTCCCCGGCCTGCTTTTCTCCAGCCCGGGACTTGTTTGCAATCGCTGCCTCTTTTATTTACGAGAAGAAATCTCCCCCTCGGTACTTCTTGGCTGTTTGGGTATTAATTTTCTCCTCTTCTCTCTCCCACTCGCCCCCTCCTCCTCTTCCCCCCACCCCGCCCCTTCTCACCCAGTAGCTAAGGGGAAACAAAACAAAGCCGATTTCTCCTTGGCAACAAGAGATACCCCCTCTCGCCGCCCCCCCCCCTTTCCTTTTTCCTTCTGGTTCTGAACGTGAAACCCTGTTGGAAACAGGTCTCTTGACCCTCGCCCTTGACATTCAAATGGCTGAATGGAGGAGAGATTGCTACTCGCACGTCTTGGGGGCTGCTTTTCCCCCCCTTCTCTCTCTTTTCCTTTCAAATGAGTAATCCCTGAAGATCTTAACCCCCCAATTTCATCACCCTCACCCCCCCCTTTATTTTTCTCTCGCCCTCTTCGCTCTCCCGCCTGCTTTGCTCCTCTGTGCTACCCCCTCCTTTTTTATTTGCATCTCAAGTCCAAAAGGCAGAAAATACACACGCGGCGAAGACACCCGGGCAGCCGTGGAGGCTCCGGCCGGTCCCTAGTCGTCAATTACCTCACTGTGGATCTGCGAGGGTCAAGGTGGCCGAAACTGCCCGGGCGCTGGCCAGAGAGAGCCTTTTGATCATCTGGGGGAGAGGGGGGAAGGACTGATTTTTTTTCCCCCCCCCGTCGCTCTTGGGATCGCTCTTCTGCCTTTATTTTATTGTTTTGGACATTTTTGAGCACCGTGGCTTGGACAGTGCTTTTTGTTTCATTGCTAGGCATTAATATTTTTTTCCTTCTTCATCCCTCTCTGGCCACTATGGAATTCTAAACTGAACCATGTTTGGATTGAAGCCACCTCTGTATTACTTACCAGGTAAGCGAGCCGTGCGCCTCCCCAGGTCCCGCGCGCCGCCGCTGCGCCAGGGACCCTCCCTCACCTGACCGCCCCAGACTCCCCCAGCCTGGGTCGGGGCGGTGGGTCTGCCGTGCCCCCCACGGGCGCCCGCGTCCTCGGTTCCTCCCGCTGCGGTCGAGTCCGCGGTGTGTGCGCTACATGTGGCGGAGGGCACCCACCGGGCCCGCCGCCCCCACCGCGCCGCCGCCGGGGGTTGTGCGTCTCGTTCCTTTTGTCTGCCCGGAGCCGGCTCCACCGCGGCGGCGCAGCGAGCGACCGAGGCACTTAAGCCTTCCGAGGTGAATTAAGCGCCGCCGGGTGTGAAGTTACTTTCCTCCGGGCCGCCCCGTTCGGGTAGCGTGCCCCCCCAGTCCTGGGGCTTATTTCCCTCTCCCTCCAGCCAACCCCTGTGCTTGGTCTCTGAACTAGCGTGGCTAGTCCGCCTCCCCCGCCCCCCATTCCTGCCTGGGATTCCCTGGAAGGTTTTGTTCTGCGGAGGGCGGAGGGTGGGGGGACAGCCGGGGAAGCTCTGGAGGGTATTTGGCGTGGCTTCCTATTTCCTTAACCTTCCTCCACACTGACTGCAGCTTGCCCTGTAACTTTCTGTTTCTGGGCGAGTCGCGCTTTCAGCCCCAGTGGGGAAGGGAGGAGATGACAGGAGAGGGTTTGGGGAGCCCCTTCTCATTCACCTTATTCGTACTTCTGAACCATCAACATGATTAAATGTAGGCTAGAGAGAAGCTGGTGAGCCAGGAATTCCTGGTTGGGAGGGTGGGAACCTGTGGTGAACCCTAGGGTCCTCCCCCAGGGGCGCAGACAGCCCCCCAGGGTCCCCTGGGGTCGGAGTGTAACTTGCCCTGCGCGCCCCAGGTGGGGCCACGTGACCGCAGGTCAGGAAGGCGGTTCTGCCTGTGACCGCTTGTTCTAGGAATGAGCTGTTTTTCCCCTGCTTTCTTTGAGTTTACCCCCCTTGGGCTTTGACACACAGTTCCTATTGAAGTTGGGGTGTCCACGGCGTAGGGAGAGATAGCTGTGCTGAGGAGAGGGCAAGTTCCTGGTTTTCTCTTGTTGATGCTGTAAAAATTCCGTACTAGAGGCTGCCTGGGAGGTTTATTTCTGAATTGTTTTGCTGAGGAAAGGTGCACGTGGCTGGGTGTTGGGTTTCTTTTTTTTTCCTGTGTTCGGAGGATCCTGTCACTTTTGCTAAGCCTCCCACACCACCTTGAAGGCCCCAGGAGGAGCATGTGTGGAGAGGATGGGCCTGGACAGAACCCAGCTCCTCTGGGCCTTTGCTGCCCTGACCAGGCAAACATTTTCACCGAGTTAATAGGGCAGGGCAGAGGGTCACCAGAGTCTGACTGACTTTTGAAAAGTAGGAAAGACTTCTGTAGGAAATCTGTGCATTTACTATTTTTGAGTTTCTTTGTGGCTATTTCAGTTTCCCAGCCCTTCCCAGTAATTGACACCTCCGTCTATGTTTCCTGCTTGGCGTCTATACCATTTTTATGGGAATATTTCTCTGGGTCTCCATTTCATTTTTGATCTCTTTTTTTTTTTCCCCACTGCCTGAAATGCCAGCCAGCAGTAGCACGCTTGGCTTCCCCCTCCCTCCGCACTTCCCTTAGCAGAGCCAATCCACATTAGGACTGGGAATCCCCTTACTAAAAGGTTGTAACAGGAGGTCAGAGTCCTTTGGTGCACAGAGTCATCTCCCCCATGGACGAGGCAGAGCACAGTCAAAGGGAGCTGGTGCCTGGTGAAATTCACCAGGGCTCTTTAACCCAGGAGTAGCAGAACATCACTCCTGCTGCAGCCAGCCACTGTTTCTGGTCTGTGACTTGGGGACAGAGGAACTTTCTTTCCTCCCTACCCCTTCCCTGCAGCTCTGTGCCCCCTCTACTACCACCCAGTTGGAGGCACTTAGGACAAGCTTGTGGCAAGAATGAATCTTCTTAAGTACAGGGTGGCTTCAAAGCACAGGTGTTTGTAATCTATACCCCACTTCACCTGCCATTGGGTGGCTCCTAGGGCATATTTATTCATCAGGTGACCGATTTTCTGTTTACACAGGGAACCTCAGAAAGAGGAGGAGGAAGTGTCAGGCTAGGGAATTCAAAGCCTTTAAGGAAAAGCAGCCCAGGCTGGGGTAAAGCCTCCGGCAGGCAGGCAGGCAGGATGGATGAATTCTGCCAGTCTCGACCTCCAGGGAGATAAGGAGAGTCAGAAATGTGGGCAGACCAGGGCACTAGTGAATCTCAGCCTGGGTTTGAATGTTTCCCCTGCTAGAGTTTTGTTTTGTTTTTTAAGCGCTTAGTGGGGTTTTATACTTTATTGTCTTAGTTGATATTCAGCCTGGGGGCTTAGCTGGGAAGAGCTATAGTTGGGTACTGTTGCTTCCTGGTGTGACCCAGTATTTTTGAGCTCTCTCAGGCCTTGCTGCAAATGCTTTGCACACTCTCCTCTCTTCATCTCAGTTCTCCCCTCTGAGATCGGTGTTGCCACCTGCAAAGTGAGGCCCCAGAGCTGCTCCACAGTTTGACCAGTTTGGAAGTGGTGGAGCTGCCTCCTACCACACGGGGCTGAAAATGAGGGGCCCAGTGTTGTGGGCAGCCTGCAAAGCTCTGTCTGTGGTCTTAGCCGAGAGGCAGAGCCCCACCCTGTGGTGGCCTGACACCCAAGTGCTCTGGAGCCTGTCAGACTGGGCTGGAAGCCAGATCTCAGACACCACAGGGAGCCAGGAGCAAGGGCCCAGAACCTGCCTGTCCAGCCAGTGCCCTGGGGGCAGTCCACAGTCAGCCTGGCAGCAGTCCCCGCTCCTCCTGTTTGACAAGTGAGAACACTGAGGCTGGGAAGTCAGGGTGAAGTCCAACTCTGTCTCTTCCCAGTTCTGTGTGTTCTTGGGCAGGTGACTGAGCTCTCAGTTAAGCCTCAGTTTTCCCATTTGTAAAATGAGATTCGTAATTAGATCTCCCTCAGTCAGTATCAGTGTAAGTCAGAGGTCAGCAGTGGATAGCCCTGTTGTAAATAAAGTTTTATTGGCGCGTAGCCATGCCTGTTCTTTTATGTACTGTCTCTGGCGGCTTTCACAATATAAATGGCAAAGTTTAGTCTTTGGGCAAAGCCCATATGGACTGGCCAACCTTAGAATATTTATTTGCTATCTGAGAAAGTTTGCCCAGTCTCTGGTATAGGGGGTTAGATGCGGGAATTGTCACAAGGCATCGAGGACGAGGACAGAAACTGGGATGAAGTTAATGAGTGACTGTGATAGGAATGATTGTTTTGTTGCAGTCAGTATTACTGTTAGGAAAGTGGGATTGTTTGTTGAAAGTCACAGAGCTTCTCAGTGGGGGCTTGATCTCATATCTTTGGACCAGGCCTTTTACCCTAAGGTATGGCATCTGGCTCTCTGTGCTATTTGGCTGGCCAGGGGGTGGCATCAGAGGACTCTTGGTTTACAAGGGGTGCAGGGGGATGTGCCAAAGGAGGTGGGGACAGGGGTTTAGGGGGCAGGTGGGTATGCCTCTGCCTAACTACAGGTGGGGGTCCCTCTGTAAACTCACCTTCTCTGTGTGTGTGCACCCAGTTACCCCATTTCCTGAACTCTGCCAGACTCCATCCAGCTCCACGTGGGCAGGGACTATGTCTCTTCTTCGAGCCAATATTTTTGCCAGACCATAGTAACAATCATGCAAAATAATAACATCAGTATCCACAGAGTATCTTTAAAAACATGATAATAATGGAGGACAAGGTGGTGCAGGATGAAGTGGTGGCCACTGTTTGTCCACACCACTGTGTTGTACCAGGCACAGCACTGATTTCAGTCATCAGCTCCAGGAGGTTGGGCTTCTCTCATCCCACTGAACCGCTGAGGAAACTGAGGCACACAGAAGTTTGATCACACAAGCCGTAAGTGGTGCCGCCAGGCTCTGACCCCCGGCAGTCTGGCTCCAGAGTTCTTGCTTAATAAATATTTGTTGAACGCACGAGGGAGAGAGAATCAGCCGTTGGTGTTGGTGGCGCCCTCCCAGCCTCTTATCTTGTTCCTGGCGTTTGTGGAGGGACAGACTCCTCAGTTGTCAGCTGACCCCACCCTGGCCCTGCACTGAACTCTTGGTGACCCCAGCCTGCCTTTGGGATGGCTATCCACCGCTTGGAAAGATGCTCTAGGCCAGGCGTCCTCAAACTATGGCCTGTGGGCCACATGGAGCCTGCTGAGGACATTTATCCAGCCCGCCAGGTGTTTTTGCCCCCACTGCCTGTCCTGCTTAGCAACAGACTCTTCCCAGGGCCCGCAGTCCAGCCCTCCAACGGTCTGAGGGACAGTGAACTGGGCCCCTGTTTAAAAAATTTGAGGACCCCTGCTTCTCGGCCCTCCAGTGAGGAAACTGAGGCCCAGAAAGACCCGGGACTGGCCCTGTAGCCATGCAGCCTGCTGGTGGCCCTGCTCAGACCTTGGGTCTCCCCTGGAACATTTCCCTGCCTGCCCCTGCGGCCAGGGAAGTCACTAATGGCTGGTCAGGCCTGGCCCAGTCCCTCTCTGAACAGCCTTGGAGGGGGTTTGCCAGAGACTGGGGTTTCCCAGAGAAAAGGTGTGGCCGGTGGGGAGCTGTCAGATTTTATTTTTCATTCCCCCCACTCCACGCTTCTAGAAAAACGTAGTCATGGCTGAGTGTAGAGCTCTGCTCAGGCCCACCTGGGTTGGGGAGGGGTCTAGAGGCAAGGGCAGGCCAGAGCCTCAGCCCTCCAGCTGCTGCTCCCAGCTCCCTGGGTGCCACTCAGGAACCAAAGCCGGGAGGGCCGCCCGCAGTTGCCAGCTGTGCCCCAGCTCGCGTCTGGCTTCTGGCTTGTCACGGAAAGCTGTTGGGTCATAAGGAAACTTAACAGCTTTGGGGCAAGCTTGGGAGTCACCCCAGACCTGTTTTACGGGGGGCAGTTTGGGCCTAGTGGGATCTGAGTCAGATAAAAGGAAAACA